GTACAACAAATTGGGGTACGGGAATTTGATGAACTGATGCTCATGTTGATCTAGATTTAATAATTAATTTTAGCTAGGAGCAGTACTCTATGTCTTCACCGTGAACTTATCTAGAACGTGAGAGTTAACAATTTCGAGATGGAAATCGAACCATTGACAATTAAAAGTGTTGGTAACTTATCTTTTGATCAACTATATTTGGATGGACCTATTTAAAAGTGGTGCCAAAATCGACACTCAAAATATATTTCCTTTTTCACTTCAAACACTAATTAATTCTACCTAACCATTGTCAAAGCGAGTATAGCTTAGCGGTAATTGATATATATCTCCAATCAAGAAGCTTAGCGGTAATTGATATATATCTCCAATCAAGAGGTTGTGAGTTTGATATTAAGATGGAAATAGGAAAGATGAGCTAAATAGGCTCCTTAAATCCCACTGTGGATTGAGTATAGGAAATATTATTGACACCAATAAAGCTTTGCACATCAAGTGGTTGCGGAGATTTTTCTTTGAAAAAGACAGCTTGTGGTCATCTTTGATTGCTGTGAAATATGAAGCCCAGTTTCCAAATTTCATTCCCACCATGGAAGTCCAAAGTCTCCATGGTTCCACATCAAGAAATTCACTCATCTTTTCCATGGTTTGACAAATTGGAAGGTGGGCAATGGTAAATCTTTCTTTTTTTTTTTCATTTTTTTTTTCATAAATGGTCTGATACAAGGTCCTTATATATGACATGTTGTATTGATTCCACAGTTCAAATAATCTTTTCTCAGTTAATTCTTTGAAAAGTTGGCTCTCGGTACAATAATCTAATAGTCCACCTGCTTTGTTTGACTGTTTATGGAGTCTCCTCTTTCTTAAGAAGTGTAATTTCTTTATATGGTGTATCTTACACTGAGGCTTAAACACTCAGGCAGACAAGCTACAGGTTAGATATCCTTTAATGCATATTAATCTAAAGTAGAGTGTTTCATGAAATAATCGCTCTAATGAAACTTTAGATAATCTCTTTTTGTATTGCCCCTTTCTGACATCTCTTTTAGCATCATCTATTGTACACTTTCCAAATTTCACTTGTCTTTCCGGCCCATTGGATCGACACTTTCATCACAGAGTGTCTCCAAGCTTAGTAACTGCAAGCTTAGTAACTGCAGACAAATTATTTTGAAACAATTGCACTTTCTCGGACATCTCAAGGACAGTTGCTTCGCTTTGGGCGGACATCATTATTGATGTTTCATCATGGTCTTTCGAATCCAATCTCTTTGTAATTATGATACTGCTACTATTTCTTTTAATTGAGTTGCCTTCATTTAATCAACCTCTTTTTGTCTTATATGTTTCTCGTGTACTCGTTAATGAAATGATACCTATTTCTTAAAAAAAAAAAGCGCTAAATACCTTCCTTGCAAAACTAAAAA